GAAGAAACCCTCTGTGGTTCGAAATTAGTAGAGAAGAAGAAAGAAAGAAGAAAGAAAAAACATTTATTTGGCAATTACACGCACAGAAAACAAAGAATATAAAAAAATAAAAATACATAATATAAGTAAACAAAATACTAATAATAAACTTACAAGAATACAGATATTCTAGAGCTTTTCTCAGTATATTTACATGAGTAACCCGCGATTTTTAGTTAATTTTGTATGTCTCACAATAGTTATTATAAAAATGTAAATTCTTAGTGATATAATGGTTTAAAAATTGTAACAGCAGTTTCTCCAAATCTCTTGTACTAATGACAAGGCTACCATTAATAAATGCCATGAATGAGCCTGCCCAGAGTAATTTCACGTCATTTAACAGTCTTATAAGAAAACGAAATGAAACAACGCTTGTCTTTTGTTTCGGTTCTTGTTCAATAAATATCTCGATACAAAATACAACAAACTTCTGTTTACACACTTGGACGACTATAAGCAAAATATTTTCCATTCAAATGTTGCATAATTTTTTATTTGATCCACGTTATTCTGACGGTCCCGTCTCGTCAGTTCCAGTTATTATGTAATTCTACGTTAGCCACCCACTTTGTACGTAGTGTGTCTCAGTGTTAAGTTAAATAGGATTGTTTGAAGGGCACCTGTTCAAACATAAATAATAATAGTATGTAGGTCAAAAATGTCATTATATAATTAACGATATTATAGTTACTATAGAGGTATAACCATTACGAACGTTTAGACACTATTTTTTTTTAATAAAACTTTGCCCCTCACTAGGTATTTCTCCTGTGTCGTAGGTGCGTCAACAAATATACAAGTTCACATACACTGACTACCCGACCCGGAACAAAAATTTTTGGATCACACAAAGAGTTGTTCCGTGCGGGAATCGAACCCGCGATGTTGCACTGCAGCCGGTTGTCCAACCACCGCGCCAACGGTGCATTTTGTTACAGTCACGATTACAGTGAACGCAACGATGTTGTCTCTGACGTGATGTCCGAGTTTTAAATTTTGATTCATTAGAAAATGTATGGATTCGCTTAATTTTCATTTGCCAAAGGTTATGTGATATTTACAGTCTTACAGATAGCATTAATATCACTTCTGAAATAAAAAAATATATAAAAGTACGTAAAATACATATAGTATAATAAAACTGTAGAAGAGTAAATTCTGTACATTGAAAATGTTGAAAAAATTAATAATTAATCAATTGTGCGACTCAATCCCTAGACACAATTATTGTAGGTACCAAACGCAAATAACTACATAACATAACTTTGTCGAATGTTAGGTTGTCTGCAGTGGACTTTACACTTTAACTATAAATGGTTACAATTAGCTTCAACCGATACTGTACATGTGAAAATCAGTCACATCAAAACGGCTTAAGGGACCGGAAAAAATTTGGAACCGAGGTAGAGCTAAAATCTTTAAAATAATCTTCTAATATCATGCCCAAAGTGATTTGATTCTATCACCATCTACTGTATATTAAGTCTGTTACTAAGACCCATTAAACAAAAAGAATACACTGTAAATAATAAAGAAAGCTTTGCTAAAACATACCTACATAACATACATACCCAGATAAGACGGTTTTAAAAGAAATTGCAATAATTATCTTTTATTTTTCTAGAACGTATAATCTGATAACATGCTCCTACTTTAAAAATAAGCTACATTAATTAACTGAGCTCCATTAATTACGTTGTTATTTTTATCTTCTAGAAGAAACACGCAAGGCAATTTGTTTGGGCAATATCTCAAATCTATAGACGATTTGTACGATAAAATTAATTAACCAATTGTACGTTAGTCTAGAAAAATAAAGAAAACTAGTAACAATTGTAGAAACTACTTAATGGCTCTATTTGGTTCAATTTAAAAACCTAGTTTTATGTGCTATGTTGTATATCTTTAAAGTGGATAAACAAAGAAACAAAGCAATGTTAAATGATAATTTGTTGCAATAACTTGAAATGAGAAATACTAACGAATTATCGTCTTTAGTCTAAAGTCACCACATAACATCGCACCTTTTATCCCTGAAGGAGAAGGGAGAGGTGCACATTACAGCACTTAATGCTACTGTACAATGTAGCATTTACTTTTCACTATATATAAGCCCTATGTAATAGGGGGTGAGCCTATTGCCCTATATCACAATTCCAGACTCCGTGCTACTACTGAGTTTTTTTTTATTAAACCCAGTAATACTTTACCGGAACCGGGAATCGAACCCTAGACCCCTTGGCCAGCAGTCGCACATGCGACCACTCGGCCAACGAGGTAGTCTAATGTCACCAACGTACTTAAAATCACAAATGATAATTATTTTTATTAACGTGATAACATGTGTTGCATAATTATTCGATAACATAACTGGTGCAATTACATAACAATTTTCAACATAAGTATCAATCAACAGCCTATAAATGCCCACTGCTGAGCAAAGCGTATTCTCACAAAGAGTTTGAGCATTAATTTCACGCCTGCTCAATGTCGGTTGGCGATTTCAAACTAATAAATATAAATTATAATGTCCAGGTTCCTCATATGTCTGCCTTCACTGTTTGTCAGCGGTGTCTAAATAATCTTAGAAAGTAAATATAACTCGGAAATAGTCACATTGGTACTTGCCGTTGTTGGTAGGTTTCGAACCCGCACCCTCATGCATGAGAAGCGGGCGCCATACATCACCAGGCGACCACGACATTACATAATAGTATGTCATAGAAATAAATATTATCTGTTGTTCTTGCACAAATAACATTTAAAAAAATATTTTCACTCAAAGCCAAGTAAACCATATCATTAATTTATTATCTTGATCACTTACACTTCCAAAGGAAATACAATTAATTTAATTATGAAACCGCATCACATAATTAAGGATAATGGCACTTCGTGTTAATTACTCTTATTGTAATTAAGACAGAGAAGAGACTACGAAAAATTTCAGTGAGAGCGGTTGCGAACATAGCATCAAGTAGATCCAAACCTGTGAAGTACATTCCGTAGCAATTGTGGTACTTTCTCTAATTTCTACAGAAATAATACTTTTCAATAGGTATGGTCGGCGTTTGGCCATTATCTTGCCTGATGGTAAGCAATGTGGCCTACGATAGAGCACGTCTTCCCTTAAGCAATCTACTCACTGGAGACTCGAAGACGCCCAGGTTCCTTTAGGATACACAGACTCCGGTTAAGAGTTCGTCTTTATTCGAGTGAGTTCATCATACAAATATTCTACAACCATCTACTACGGACCAAATTTTCATAGATCATTGGATCGGTTTTGGATCGGAAATAATGCAAAACAACCCTTAGCCCCCTTACGCACTTGCGGTCAACCGCGCGGCTAGCCGCTCCCTGCGATTGACTGCTTTTCCAATTTAACTCGTTGAGTACCGTCATTATAGACACAATTATAGAACAATAGGTTGCGGTCACCGGTGCCCGCGCGGTGTTTGACAGTTTAATATGCAACCGCTATGGCAACCGCGTCTGTTGATACGAACCGTCTCGGCGGTCAACCGCTAGTGCGTAAGGGGGCTAAGAGTAAAAGAAAGTACTTATTAAAACCATGTTAGGATATACGCTCTTGAAATCACAAGGAAAGTTAATTTTTGTTTTGTAATTGAGTTGGTTGCTAAGTAACTGGTAGACACGCTATACATGTTTAGTTGTCCCGGAGAACCTAACGGGTTACCAGGGATCCGGCTCGACGTGCAGAAGAAGGAACAGGGTGGTTTTTAGTCAGTAAGAGTCTGACCCTCCCTCCCTCCTCACCCAGGCGGGAGCAGTCATTCGATGATTTTCCCCCGTTAAAAAATAATACATGTTTAGCTAGAAAAACAACGGCTACTATGAAAGTGTCTCGAAAAACCATATGTCATATAAGACTTGTCTCAGAAGTTACAAATTTAAATTCATCTTGCCATCTCATGATTTTTTTTTATATATATTTTATTAAGAGATGTTTGTAATTGGCCTGAGTAGAATCGCTCTGTTAATAGTTAAATCGCATGAAGCATGAAAACTTTATTTAAAAAACGTATAACTAATACCAGATACACAAGTACAGGGAAATTTACAATTCATATTCACAACTAATCCCATATAAAACCCATAAAAAGAGAGAATAGTAATTTGTTATTCAAACTTACACTTGAGAAGCCAGAGATGGGAAAAGCGTAAAATTTTAATCTTATCAAGTACAACGGGTGCCATGAGCAACGTCACAGGCTAATGGTGGCCATAATTCCAGCCACCTGGCTATAAACATGCCGTAATGACCAGCAGCCAGCAAATTAATGTCTTAGATGCTATGTTCATTAAAGTTTAAACGTACCAAAGAGTTTTAAAGAAGAACGGCTTTTATGGAGAATAATTTTGAATAAAATATTTTATGGACATGTTATAGATACCTCTACATACATAAATTTATGTCTTCCACTATCAGTTAAGCATACATTATAAAGCATTAGAGGTACTTGCACTTGTCATTTCGAAATCCTACAGCAACGCTATGAAGAACTTTTAACTGAAATCGTTATACAAAAAACTGCAATTGTAGGATCTTGGTCATATTTAAAAAAAATCATATCATAAGTACCATTTCATACGTTCCGGTTGCCAGGTAGCCGGTGCCAGGTACCTGGTGGCGCAGGGTATAGCCATGTGCTATATAATATTGTATCTTTCACCCGTACCGGCGTAATTTTCCCGACAAGCGTACTGTATGGACGACGCAGCACGCTTTCATACATACTGGCGCATTATCGCCGAGGTAAGACACTACGCGACATACCTTCGAGGCGCTACCGGACATAAAATCGGCTCGTATGAAAGCTACAGCCAAACAATCAGTACTGGCTACCCGGTAACCGGAACGTGTGAAAAGACACTAAAGATTAAATAAAGTGGCACCATTGGTTGGTGTCACATCTTAAAATATGTCTTCTTACCTTATGTTTTCCTAGATTAATGACAGAACAACCAAGGACGGCTTCTTTTCCAATGTGGAATGTATGGTTGCCGATGGGTCGCTCAAACTGGGGCACATCGATCAGTTTTCTGTTCACCACGTGCGAATCTGGAAATAAAACATACAATTTTATTGATGCAATCGTCGTGTTTCCAAATTTTTTATGGGATTAGCTGGTCAACGAGTAGATGGATCACCTGAAGGTAAGCAATTGGCGCCGCCCATGGACTCTTGGAATATCAGAGGCCTTACAAGTCTTAGTGCGTTACCGGCGTTTAGGGAGTTGGGAATCCAATCAAGGAACTCTCCGACACTTAAATTAGATTTGAAATCCCACCAAAAGTAAAAAAGTTATATTTGAGAGAATGAATGAAGTAGTGACAATATTGAAGAGTAGCTTTAGATAGATTTGAAATTTGAAATCACTGAAAACATTACTTTTCCAGATTTTGATACTCCACTTAAAATACAGAAAGTAGCAATCGCAAATCTTGACAAGATTAAAAACTGTACAACAACAAAATCTATTCTGAATCACAACACTATTATAAAGTCTTTTACAAGTAGCGCAGAACTATGAAGAAACTAAACCGAATAAACTCATAGTACAGGACACACCAACCTATGCTAAACCAGTATACGCTGACCGTCGGATGTACGAAAAGGTCATGTAAAGCGAGATCATGATGAACTGGCTTTGTGTAGCTCGATGTGTACAACACATTCTTATTGTTAACTAAGTTATCTCAGCTCTTGTGAACTCGAGCAAACCGACTTCGATAATAGTTCTGCATTTACAGAAGAACTATGTTCCCACGATAATTTTGTTAGCATATTTTCTTGAGGTATATGTTTTATAATGCATTATTGTTTTTGAATGCGAGTAAAATTTTATAAGATGAAAATAAAAATCTATTTATTTTTTCTTTGAAAATCACACGCAATTCAACGGCCTGTAGGTAGCCACTGCTGATCAAAAACCTCTTCTTGTATGAAGAAGTCTTGAGCGTTAATCACCACGCTTGCTCAATGCGGGTTGGCGATTTCAAAATTATAATTAGAATTAGCTTAAGTTTCAAGACGTTTTCCTTCACCGTTTGTCAGTGGTGTCTAAATAATCTTAAAGTAATCGGAAAAGGTCACATTGGTACTTCAGGTCTTAGCAGGTCTTGAACCCGCGCCCTGAGGCATAACAAGCGGGCGTCTTAAACCTTCGAGCTACCACGATTTAACAACTACAAATAATAATAAGCTAGGTTTTGATTACAAGGTTGCCGCAGTCAGTTTCTGAGTCAGAGTGTGACAATGTTGTTTGTACGGAAGCTCAATTATACACCTACGACATAAATGTAAAATGGGGCAACTTGACCTCCGATATTGATTTTGGATTTAAAAAACTATTCTTTACATTGAATTTAATACCGTAATAATACAAAGTGCCATTAAGCTAGTGAGCGAATTTCTAACGTAAAGTATCCAGAAATTCAAGCCATTGTTGAAAATAACATCTATTGTGAAAAAGGAGCAAAACCTCCATACTTTTGTACTACAAAAGCTCGAAAACCCAGATCTAAATCCCTTTCAGTAGCAGCTAGGAGTCAACCCTTGCAAAACCCGGCCACATTCGGCGAAGTTTTAACAATCACATGGTCGAATCACCGTCGAACTTTGCCGCTTTGGCCCGCAATGTGTCATTTTGATACCAAACACGCCAACTATTTTAGGGTTATGTTGAACATTTCCAGCCAAATGTTAATGAGATTATTGACAGTGCAGTTGCTATTTTAGTTTTAGGGGAGTTTTGAATGGAGTGGTACTGTTTTATGGTAGGAAATGTCTGTTGTTATGAATGGGTTGTTTGATGATCATTCATGATTGACTATTTCTGTTTGATTGAACAGTCATGCACTTTGATTAATACTTGAATAGTACTATATAATAAAATACACTTTGATCGTTACTTTTTCTTCGATTTATTTGAAAAATATGACAATTTTTTTTTTATAAATAAATTGCCTCACAGTAGGATTTTCTCCTGTATCGTGGGTCAGTTTACAAATATACAAAATCATATACACATGACATCCAAACCCGAAATAACAATTTGTGAATCACACTCGGCCATTGGCCACATTAGCTCCATACAAAATGTGTCAAAATTCAATCTCAGTGAGCAAATCTACGATACGAGATAGATACGTTATAGAGAACGGCCACGGCGATGAGAGTTGCTCCGTGCGGGAATCCAACCCACTGCACGTTGCATAGCAGCCGGTTGTCCAGCCACCACGCCAACAGTGCAGTCAATATAACAAACTACATACACTTTTTAAATAGGACATGAAATTAGTTGTGATTTGTAAGTTGAAAAAGTGAACCTAACACCACGAAATAAAACAATAATTCTGCATATACAAGGCCTCTTACAATAATTACTAATAAGTTCTAGAAGCCAACATACTATGCTATACCTATTTATGTACACAAAGCACCGCTAATTAGTTCGTAACGCTCACATCGACACAACTGTCATTTACACAATGTACATGTGTGGGTAATTTCATATTACTGTGTATAAAAATATTCGTCCACCACATTCACATTGGTATTTTCATTCTTGTGTCGGTATACGTATTTTTATAATTTAATGCATGGGTAAGGTTAAAACTATTTACAATCATTGATATGACCCGACATTTTCACTGTAATTATCGTAGTGCTCGTGGTCGATTGGTTAATGAGTACGCTTTTATCGTCTTTCAAGGATCAATGATGATGTGGGTTCTATTCCAGCTAAAAGTTTTTTTTTATTTTACCTTGTTGTTTTTCTTATTTATTTTTTTTTTGTTTTTTGTCATATAATATAAATATCAGGCTATAAAAGAAGCAAATCAGTCGGTAAATAAAACAATACTATTTTTTATTAAAATTAATTTATTAATTATACAAATATGTGGTTTTATATTCAATATTTATATCTAATAATTAATTATATACCACATGTTAACTTTAAAGTTCTTCCAATCATTCTAAATTATTCTAAATAATAAATAACTAGAACTAAAATATAAATAAAGGATATTATAGGTATAAATAAATCTAAAGTATTTACTATTAAAATTAACATAAGATTTAGAAAAATAGGATAGGAAAAAAAGAAAAGATTTAATTGTTTCTAATTTCACATTTCAAATATTTGATTAATTAATACTAAAACAACATGTGAATGCTGGAATCGATCCGGTGGCACTTTACTTGACCACTGGAGGCGATAACCATTGCGCCAAGCGCGCCGTAGATGAGAACATCGAAATATTGTATATCATTCAGTAACATAAAAATACAATGAGAATGCACTATATTTATATAAGTATTGTATTGCTCGATCGTTCATTATTTTTGATTTCGATTTATTCAAAGTTTGTTATGAGTATTTTTATCTTTACCCTCGTTTTTATTTAAACTTATTTACTAAAATATTACGTATACCGACACAAAAATGATATGTAATACCAAGATGTGTGTGATAGAACGAATGTTTCTATACATATCTATTAATATGAAATTACCCACACATGTTCACTGTGTAAATGATAGTAATGTCGATGTGTAGCGCCTCGAACTAATTAGCGGTGCTTTGTGTACATA